ATAACATTTTGCTCTTATTTATGCAAAATAGTCCTCAGATTTAGAATCATTTTTAGTCACAGAGAAATTATGACATTATTTTTTTTATGTTTTTCATTAATATTCTTCTCATATAGCCCAACAAGTCACCCCTTTCATCTTGGAACAATTATTACGTCCTCTGACCGGACGTAGAGCTACGTTTGGCCGTCAATAATATGTCGCCACATGCTCTTACTCTTTACCGCGTGGCCCGACGACTTGACCCAGACCGGAACCCGGGAATGCTATGTTCGCGTACTGCGAGGTATTACTCGGTATTTGCTCGGTATTGCTCGGTATTGCTTGACAATAACGAGAAATACCGCTCTGTGAAGACAATTACCGAGAAATACCGAGTTGTATCGAGTTTTTCTTACCGAGTTTTTCTAGAAAAACTCGGTATTTGCTAGAAATACTGAGTTGTACCGAGTTTTTCTAGAAATACCGAGCTCGGTACCAAGCACAGTTCCGAGCTGAGTAGGAGGTGATGTGGCGCATTTTCATTGGACTCCGAACACATTCGGTGACCTGACCCAATAATTTGCGCTTGGAATGAGTGCATTTTGGAAATGCATGAGATATTTAGTTGGATGCAATTTAAATGTGATGGAATATTTTTTTTCTCAAGTTTTTCGAGAAATACTGAGTTGTGCCGAGAAAAACTCGGTACAACTCGGTATTTCTCGGTATTACTCGGTATTTGCTTTGTATTGCTCGGTATTTGTTCGGCATTGGTTATTGCCGAGCAAAATCGACCAATACCTAGCAATACCGAGTAATACCTAACAAAATCGAGAAATACCGAGCCATCCTCGGTCCGTTCCGGGTCGGGTTGTCGGGCCGCTCGGTAAATAGTGAGAACGCGTGACGCTATTCTATTGGCGGCCGAACGTAGAGCTACGTCCTGTGACCGGACAAAATAAAAGTTCTTCATCTTGAGAATTCACGGAGAAAAGTGTCCTTAAATATGAAAATTCATAATGCAATCCAGTTTTTGGTGCTTTATATGCCTCTCTCGATCAAAACTATATTTGGTACTCCCTCAATTTTTTTTTTCTTTTAGGCTTCGTTTGGGACGGCTTTCTTCTTATATTTTCAAACAGCTTTTCAGTACAAAAATTTCTTGAATTTAAAATTTTTGTACTAAAAAGTCATTTTAGAAAGCAGTATGAAAGCTGTCCCAAACAAAATCTTTAATGTTAAGTGGTTCACCTCCATGCTTTAGCTTAGAATTGTTTGACTTGCTGCATATTGCGTTTTAAGGCTCGTTTGGTTGCTCTATTATTCCTTTTGTAGATGTTGGTTTAAAAGCGGTTGTTGAGGAAATGGAGTTATAAAAAATGTTGTTTATATAAATTGGTGGTTGTTTGGTTAGATTGCTTTTGATATGCTTATGCAAACCTAATTAACTAATATACTTTGTTTGGTTGTATTATCAGCTTTAGTATTTTAGCCATAAAAGACTAAATTGTCCTTATATTAAAATTAATTATACGTTATTTATTTTCTTCAAACTCCGAAAGACTTTAACAAAAATAGAAAAATTTTAAAAACTCGTTAGCGTTGTATTACATGTTCTCCTTGACATCGTCGTTACCTTGATACTGTCGCTGGCATTTCTCGCACAAGGTATAATGATTTCTAAAACTAAAAAATCCCCAAATCCCGTTTTCAGGGTTTGCGGTGCAACGAGCGGACCACCTATACACGCTTTTTTTAGCGTTGTGGGAGGGAGCTCGACGCGAGGCTTGGGGCGAGGTGGGTAAGCCTCGTACACGTTTTTCTTAGTGTGACGGAGACACTACTAAGTATCTATGTATGTGCTTCTATGCCTACGATGAAATTTGTGAGCTTCAACGCAGGTATCTCAAAGACCCATACACGCATTTTGTGCCGTGGTGGGATTAAAAAGACCCATACACGTTTTTCGTGACGATCACAAAAGTGGATCCTCTATATTTTGTTTGGTTGTATTATCAGCTTTAGTATTTTAGCCATAAAAGACTAAATTGTCCTTATATTAAAATTAATTATACGTTATTTATTTTCTTAAAATTCCCAAAGACTTTAACAAATATACAAAAATTTTAAAAACTCGATAGCGTTGTATTACATGTTTTCCTTGACATCGTCGTTACCTTGATACTGTCGCTGGCATTTATCGCACAAGGTATAATGATTTCTAAAACTAAAAAATCCCCAAATCCCGTTTTCAAGGTTTGCGGTGCAACGAGGAGACCACCTATACACGCTTTTTTTAGCGTTGTGGGAGGGAGCTCGACTGAGGCTTGGGGCGAGGCGGGTGAGCCTCGTACACGCTTTTCTTAGTGTGACGGGGACACTACTAAGTATCCGTGTATGTGCTTCTATGCCTACGAGGAAATTTGTGAGCTTCAACGCAGGTATCTCAAAGACCCATACACGCATTTTGTGCCGTGGTGGGATTAAAAAGACCCATACACGTTTTTCGTGACGATCACAAAAGTGGATTCTCTATATTGGATGGATAGCTGTACGGATGTTCATCCCGCATTGGCACAAACTCTTTTTTTTTTTTTCCCCTTATATACTGCTTTCTTATCGTTTTTCTTGACTGACTTATGTGTGGGGATTGGATTGATTGGCCGACTCTTCTGAAGGTCTGTTGCTTGCCTTTACATGAGCATTTGACCATTCAATCCAATTTGGGGGAAATGACTTCAATCCCTTTCACTGTTTGCTTTTGGACTCCATAGGGGAGAAGGAACATTTGACTGTCTGGAGTGATATGGTTTGAATTCTTTTTTTTTTTTTATATATATTAATCAACCGACTCTGGGTTGTTAAGCTGGTAAGGTCAGCTTAGATACTGTATAGAGTCAAAGATTTGGCAATTGAGATTGGTCATCATGTAGTTCAAATCTTCTAAGGAGCTGTTTGGCTAGATGTCTTGGAATGGAGAGATTATTGGGTCCGGTGACCTGACACAACTTATGTTCGGTATTCACATTACTGAGCTCAGTATTGTGAAGTATTGAGTACCGAGCAGTACCGAGCTCGGTACCGAGCACAGTTCCGAGCTGAGTAGGAGGTGATGTGGCGCATTTTCATTGGACTCCGAACACATTCGGTGACCTGACCCAATAATTTGCGCTTGGAATGAGTGCAATTTGGAAATGCATGAGATATTTAGTTGGATGCAATTTAAATGTGATGGAATATTTTTTTTTTCCTTTTGTTTGTTATGATATGTTTAAATTGCATTGAAATACAATGAACAACAGTGGGTGGTGGAAGTGAGCGGTGACCGACAAGCAAAGACAACGGCATTTGTGGGCTGGAGGTGGTGGTGGCCGTCGGCTATGGCAGGCAATGTGCAAAGGTTGATGGTGGTGTGGATGGTGCTTGGTGTTGTTTAGAGGAGGTTTGTCACAAACAACGATGGTTAGCGGCAAATGGTGGATGATTGCGGGTTTTGATGGATGGTGATGAGTGATAGTAGTTGAGTGTAGTAAAAATTTTTTTGCGACGGGTGGCTGGGCAAGGGCGGAACCACTTGTTTCTTAGGGGGGCAAGGGCGGAACCACTTGTTTCATAATATACATATATATATTTTTAATATTTAATTATTTTTTTGTTGTATTTGCCCCCCTCAAAATTGAAGCTGGTTTCGCCCCTGTGGCTGGGCCTGTTGACTTTGTGTGGCGGCAAATGACAGGCGACCAGGGCTTGTAGCCTATGAATACAAATGACTGGCTTTGGTAGGCGGTGGCAATTTGTGGGTGGCAATGATGGCATGTAGTGGAAAGCAGTGGGCGATGGTTGCCCACATCAAGTGGCTGGCGGTGGTGGCAAAGGGTGCAGAAGATGATGTTGTGGGATATGAGTTTTCCTCGCATTTGAAATTTAGTCAATTTTAGCGAATTCCAAAATTCATCCAAAAAAAGTACTTTTGGGTAATCTAAATTCTAGACAAAGATGCTTTGTATTTTGTTTACTTTAATTAAACTCTAAAAAAATAATAACTCCTGAATTCATTTTTCTTTACACTTCTAATACTTGCAACCAAAATGCCCCTATCTAGCATGAGTTCTATGAAGTTTAGAAATGACCATACTCTCCACTGTGGCTCCAGTAATTGGTTTGTGGCAGCAATCGATGGGCGGTGGGCTGCGGCAGGCCACATTAAGGCTTCGTTTGGGACGGTTTTTTTATTGCTTTCTAAAACGGAGTTTAATACAAAAATAAAAAAAATTGTATTAAAACTCCGTTTTAGAAAGCAATAAAAAAACCGTCCCAAACGAAACCTAAGTGATGGGCAGTGCAATGGCAGGTGCAGAAGGTGATGTTATGGGTTGTGAGTTTTCCTTGCATTTGAAATTCACCAATTTTAGCTAACTCCAAATCCATCAGAATAAACATCATGGGGTATTCTACATTCCATACATAAATGCTTTGTATTTAGTTTACTTAAAACTGAGCAGTGAGCACTTAAAAAAATAAAACTCGTCATTCCTTTTACTTTACACACACAGCATTTGCAACCAGATAACTAACATAAGTTCTATGAAGTTGGGTTCTATGTGAGGCATTTCTGTCAAATTAGAAGCGCAAAATTGCTTCTTTAGCAAGAGGGGTATAAATGTGTTGAACTTGAGCTAGCGCGCTTTCTATCTGTATTCAGAAGAAATGTTTTTTGTCACTTCAAAAAAACATAACCAAACTGACATGCTGAAGATTGACAAGGAAAATCCCTCTTCGTGTATCTGAAGTGATTCTTTAAAGATAATCTCACACTTAAATTGAATTTTGAGTGCTCTTACATTCATGAAATCTTATAATATTCGTACCGTCGTTATTTTTGAAGCTGTGGAGGATCCTGAACATTGCTTGGAACATCTTAAAGCAATTGAAGCCTGGTGCAGATTTCAATAAGTTTCTTTATTAAATCTAGAAAAATGTCTATCAACATTCAGTTTTTTCTATGAAGTTATAAGAGTTTACCCAAGCTTCAGCACGTCATCTTGCGTTCCACTTGTTTGCTGCTGTGGTGGGCTTAATTCAAGATCAGTTGATGTGGGACTAAGAGAACCGCAAGTGGTAAATCCTCCATTAAATCTTGCACTTGCATCAACCTAACAATAGATTGTCATCTTCAGGCAATATATAAAACTTTCTATCTTCACTATTATGGATATACTGGCCTTGCAGTTTTTTTGTTAATGATTTTTATTTCTTTGATGAACACTAAGGGGCATAAATGAGCTGAAGCTTGTGCAAGCTCAAGTGTCGTTCGGCTCAACTTGTTAAGCAATTAAGTAAAATTTTATTATTTGTGTTTGTGACTTATTATAGAGCTAAATATTGAACCAAATACAAACAACTAACTTCTCTAACATCCTTAATGAATACCTGTTGGTGTAATTCCATATTTTCTTGAACATAGGGGTTTATCTTTTTGTAGATATCCATGTACTTTCTGTCCATAATCCTGACCTGTAATGGATATATTGAGTGGAGAAGTTGAGAGAATCTTGTATATCAGATTTATGATGAAAAACTACCTTCTGAATTAGCTCTTGAGCTTCATCAATTAAAACTTGGTCCTGCTAGAGATTAATAGATGAGTAGAATCAATGAAATGATGGCTGTAACTAGACATGGCTTAAAGTATCAGATCTAAAGACCTTCTTTTTTCGTATTGCATGTAAACTTGCTTTTAGCTGATTCTCTAAGGTCTGTAGATCATTGAGACCTAGCCCGTTAACATCACCCATCAGCTGCCTGTAATCATCAGTAAGTTGTTCAGAGGGGGAAAAGATGTTTCAAGATCTCATTATATGAATAGATTCATTTGATTAACATTCTCATTTGTTAAAGTAATCTTCTCTTGATGTGACCATGCAGTTATCCATTGAGATTTGAAAATAATTTCTTACTGTTTCATACATGCATTATATTCTTGCTATTATGTATGATTTTTTTCATCGTTTATAATGTTAAGCCATGTGATCCTGTCTCTTATGTTCCCAACCCCGGATAAAATGGTTATAAAACCTTCTTGTTTAAATTATTCTGTGAGGAGACCAGACGTAGAACACGTCCGGAGACCAACCAGAATGCGCCACGTCAGCGGTACTGAGCAGCGGTACCGAGCGAAGGGGTGACGTGGCGCATTTTGGTTGGTTTTTAAACAGCGTTCAACGTCCGCAAAGAATAATTTCTCTGTTTTGTGGCATCATCTTCATGAAATCAAATTCTCAAATAAACAGAATTCCAATTTACACTTGTGTTCTTAGTGGCTTAAAGAAAATATTGATAAAAGTATAGCTACACAAAGCCTGGTGAATTTAATTATATTCCATCATTTTACTTGTGTTTGAGCGTCATTGCATCCATACACCCACTTACCAAGTTTGTTATGTGCGTAGATTTTCATGAGTACTTCCTGACCTTAATATTGGTTTCTGACATTGTCAGAGGAAGGAGACTTCTGATATGTTTTTTGACAGGGATAGTTGAATTTATCAGCTTTAGTGCGCCTACATCATTCTCAGCTGAGAGCGCACTACTAGGAGTGCTCTATGCAACATCTTTCATTTGCATTTGTGAATTTTGAATAAACATACATGAACCTGATGGCCTTAAAATTCAAGATATTATTAGAGAAACTTTTTGTCTAATTGCTATTTATTTGACATTATTGAAAGTATCTACCTTCTACTCTTCACAAATCTCTCTCCCTACTACAAAAGAAAATAAATTGAAATGACAAAAGGAAAAGCATTTGCTTGATGGATCTTTCTACTTCATTTATTGGGGGATTTACATACATAACACAAAATTTTTGTGTGTTCATTCTCCTAAATTTTTATATTTACTTATTTGTCATTCAAATCTCTAAATCAACTAAAAAATATCATTACTATTAACTTATTTAAAGCAAAACCTACCTTTTTATGCATTTTCTTTGATGTCATTTAGACAAAGTGGTATATGAGTAAATACAAAATTTTGGTGTTAGTCATGTGAATACATGAGAATGCAAATATGAAATACCCTTAATTTATTTTGTGCTTTAATAATTGGGCTTGATGTTTTTGAAAAACGAGGCTTAATCCTTATTAACTTAGAGACCGGGGAAGAGATTTCATTTTGAAGTCCTCATTCAATAAAACGGAAAAGAATAGTTTGTTTATTATTTAACTGTTAAAACTATATTTTTGAAACTGGCTCATTTTGGTAGAACGTCATTCTTGCTTTTTTTTAAGCTTTTTATAAAGTGGATTTACAAGCTATGGAAGAAGTTAATTTGGAGGATTAAAATTTGATTAGCATGTAATCTGAACAATTATATGAATGATTGAGCGCTTCATGCAGTTTGGAAACACTCAATCCTAAATATCACAGGCATTACAATCTGTCAAATGCTTGTTTTGATAGCAGCTGATTGGTAATCTTCTTAAATTAGATATATTTGTAAAATTTTACTGATTTTGTTTTTGTTTTTTGTAAAAACTTATATTTTCTTCTGAAGTTCAGAAGAAAATTGCAGTTAATAAGAAAAAAATTAAATAAAAATAGAATGTAATTCCATTTTTTAGTGTCATTTTTAAGTTATATTGAGATTTTTCGTTTTCTTTTCGTTTGTCAAGCATCCATATATACAACTAAACTCAGAAAATTTTTACCACCTTACCCTTTTGTCAATAGAAGTTGCTGTGAAGTAACAGCTACAAGAACATGTTGAGAATTTTTTTTTACCTTGATGATGAGAATAATAGAGAAGTTCAGGAGGTTGACTGAATTGCATTAATCCAAAGTCTCAAAGCTGTTATAATTGACTCTTTGTAAAAGGAATCTATTTTAGTTCTTCGGTAATGAAGTGATTAATGAGTTACCTCTTACAAAGAGGATGGCCCTTTCATGATTTTCCCATTTTTATTTGCTAATTTTTGTTATTCATGCCATGAGGTACCCTGGTGATTATTAAGCATGTGGCATAAATATTTTTCAACTTTGATTCTATCAAAGCTTACTTTAAAGTATTTGAAAACGGTATAATTGTGACAACATGTGTAATAACTAAAATATGTAAAATAAATTTTCTAGAAAAATATGAAAATTCTAAATTAGAGCGCTTTGGTGCTGATCTGGTGAGATATATTTATAAATATCCATGACAAAAATGCATTCATGTTTCTTTCCGCTATTCATTGATAAGCTCTAGTTAAATGATTAAAATGAAATACGGATGTTATTCTTCTAATATAGATCCTGGAGTGTCACAACGACAACATGCATTGTTGCATTTTTTACTATCTTACAATTCTACCAAAGCAAGTTTATTTTACCATTTGATTTTACCAGGAGTAAAGATCTTTAAGCTGTTTTCTGATTAAATGAGACTATTTTTTTCTTTTTTTCTGGTTGAATCAAAACAATAATTTGAAAATTCACGCTGGTCAACCTTCATTTTTTCCTCTAATATGCCATGTGTCTAACATTTTTTCGTACTCTAGGGATAAGAGAAGTTACCGATAATTTTCTTGCAAGTTATACAGTTGCTGCCTCAAGCATGTTGCTTCCCTCCGCCAGAACTAGTGGACAAAAGCAAAATCAGTTAGTACGTCTAATACAGATACGGTGAGGCAATCAGATCAAAACAACATTGTTTGCAAATAATAGCAACTGGGTATTTTTGTAGTACTAGTGGATGGCATTATGAAACAAGATGCTGCTGTATCAGCTATTTGGTCAATTTACATAACAGGTACTGTGTTGAACTTTGTAATATTCTTAGCTATAATGTATATCTAAAGACTGTTTGCATGCTAAAACATCTTTTAGAAATTGCAAAATGCTAGTTCTGCCATAGAAGCTTTCTTGTTCTCGGTTAACTCGTCATTCTTCTTTAATTAAGACTTGAGGCCCTGTATGCTAAACATCATTATTTTGATTATTATGTAAATGATAATGTTACAAATAATCTACTGCCTAATGGTGATCATGTTTGCAAGTATCAAGAAGATACTCAGCTTAAGATCAACATATTGATGTGTATTGGCGGTTTTAGAGGAAACTTAGGAATCTATGGAATTGTAAAGTTGGCGGTCCATCATTGTGGACAAGGTGGCAATTCATGGGCCTCTACAAGGGCAAAAATCTCCAGTTTTTTTCAGGAAAATAAAGGTGTCAAATTTGTTGAATATCTTCATTTTTTTCATAGCCACAAATATAGAAAAATGATTAAACCTTGTATATTTATGAAGTAAATATATGCAAGTTCTAGAATATCTTTCTTATTTTCATAGCTACAAATATAGAAACATGGTCAATCTTTATATGTTTTGTTCTTGTACTTTTTTCCATGTAATTAATAGTTTTCACAGGTAGCTTAATAAAAAAAATGGATATAGACGAAGTCAATGAGATCATACAGTTTTTATAAAACACTCTATTTAACAGAGAATGACAGTTCATATTGTACATGTTCATAAAATAATTATTATAGCAGATGATAATGAAGAGAAAAAATGCTAAAAATCCTCACTGACTATTTGAGATCATAAGTGGATAAATCAACTTCAGGATATTGCATTGTTTGCGAAATTTTGTAGCATGGAGAAGTAGGAAATAACATGTGATCTCAAGATAAAGTGCTGAATTAAATTTTAGAGCAATTGCCCATGGAATATGTAATCTATTATGGTTAAAAAAATTATACTTGAAGATCTAAAGAAGATTAAATGGAAACGACTTTTATAGTGATAGTAAGTTTGCTATTAGCATTGTTCATAATCTGGTACAACATTATCAAACTAAACTCGTGGTGGTACATAGGCGCATAAAAAAAGTGAAAAGTGAAATGATTTGCTCTTCTTATGCTTCAACAAATAGTCAACTGGTGAATATATTCATTAAAGGGCTTTTTGCAATCCTAGATTAAAAAATATTTTGGTTTTATACATCCCTTTTGATAGCAATGGGTTGCATCGTATAAGGGTACCTTGTAGACTTTGGGTAAATGTTTGTCTAAGGGGATATATTTGAGTCCACCTTAGCTAACAAAGGACTTTGTGCCATATCGATTATATCCTATTGATTCATTACTTAAGGATTTAGAATCATAGGCGAACATGCGGGCTCTAGTCATGACCTTAATTTACTGGTACCATTTGATGATAAAATCACCCGGTCAGAGAGCCCCGATCATAACCTTTTATCTAGGGTGCTATTTAGTGGCAAAACCACCGGTTAGAGGACACGTGTCAGGTCCTTACTGATAGGAGATAATTTGATAATGAATCATAATAATATTCTAGACTAAACATTTGCTATTTATGATCTAAAGTGATTTTTAAATTTATTTACATCGACAAACTGTTGCGAAAGGTGGATTGATTTTTTACTTTAAGTGCTTGATGATTTTTTTTTAATATATATATTGAATTTTTTAAGAGCAATAGATTTAAATTTGAGCCCCAAATAATTAACTTTAAATTTTGGGGGCATTTCTTTGAAATTTATGTAGACCCCTTCGGTTGAGATTTGCATTCAACATGACTATCATCGGGGGTTTGTGTATTATCATTTCATTAGTCGAATATTGTCAACTATATTTGCTTTCAAATAGAGGATCGGGTTTAGCTCCTAATTTTTACAAATAGAGAATCCCGTTCCAACTTGCGGTCTTGGCCCACCTATGTGATCACCAACGTGAACAACACCCGAGATGCTGCCTCCGCACACTCAGCCCGACTCCACCCGTGCTTTTGCACAAGCACAGCGCCTTGATCCAACTACACACCATGCGACACTTTCGCGCTCCCGCACCATGTGTATGTTGCCCGTCACCGCTTGCGACACCCGCATGACCTGCACTCCACGCCTTCACGCGTGAACCCAGGCACGCGAGCTCCCGTGCGAGTGTCTACCTGTCGGTCCCGACTAGGCTCTGCTCGCGCCTGGCGCGGTGCCTGCTTGCTCCACTTTTGCGTGCCCTGATCACCTCACCCATGAGAGTCAGGCGCTCGTCTTTGATCCAAGCACAATAGGAATTTGCCTTCCATGTTATGTTCTTGATTACAAGAAATTCTCCTCCTTCCCCTTAATCAACTCTACCTTGCTCTGATACCAGTTTTAGGATCTTGGTGAGTAAGGAAGATTTCTTGGATGAAAGAAATGGAGAAGGCAGGAGAGAGAGACAACTGGGAAATAGAGAAAATCTTTATTACGTGGCTAGGATACCAAACTTATTACAATCATTTCTATTTATAGAACAATAGAACTAAAGAGATAAAATGCACCTAAGGAACTACAAACTTAAAGCTGGACCAATCACAGCAATAATAAATAATAGTAACATATTTTACAATTATGGGAATTACAAAGATATCAGAAATGGGGATTAAATGCAAAGACTCAATAGGTTAATTTACCTGAATCTCTGAATTTGAATGCATCACTAGGTGACGATCCTCTTTTATCTTGCTGTATCGTTCAATCACCGATTTCATGCTGAAATAGACGCGATAAGGATTTTAAGTTTTGTTAAATTTGTATCTTTGCATTGTTTAGTTTATGGACGCTTTCTATCAGAAGCATGGTAAGATGAACTTGCATGTACACTACCTGAATATAATCAAATTAGAAGAGTTTATTTCTTTTCCTTTTAGACTTTACTCTGCTAGAAAACTTTGAGACCTTTTATTTATTCATTTCTGCTAAGCATCCTTCATCTTCATCATCATTATTATCATTCGCCCTTTTCCTAAGTATTCAGTTTCCGACATACAATTCCTCATTTAAATGCTTAATGAGTACGATGATGTTGTCCTCTCTACACGAAAAATTATTCTGTGCGACATCTCTGATCGGAGACCAATCTGTCACGTCACCTGGTCTGAGCACCAGTTTGGAGCAAATAATTAATATGGCGTGTTCTGATTGATCTGTGCTTTACCTGTACTTTTGACATACTTGATACATTCTACATACCAATATTTTATTGGTGTCTGCTAGGTCCGGTGACCGGAACTAATAAATTTCCCAGAGGTCCAGACTTCTTTCTCCATACTAAGCAAAATTGATAAATTAAACCAAGATAAAAAATGAACATTCGTTCTCCTTCTAATACATTAATTTGAGGGCCTAATCAGACAAGAAAATCATATTGTTTACTTAATCCCCTTTATATAGATTATGGATAGTCTACCTATGAAGAGATGACAGTAACATAAGTGAAGAAAAAAGAACCTGGTGCTGGCGAAATCATAGAGCCTATCTGTGTTGGAGAAGACGATAAGGCCGATCTCTGCATCACAAAGGACGGCAAGCTCTCTCGCCTTCTTCAGCAACCCATTCCTTCTCTTCGTAAAGGTCACCTGCCTCGTCGTCGTGTTATCAATCCTCCTTATCGCGATCTTCCCTCTTCCCATCTCCCCTCTCTCTTTCTCTCTGTCTTTCCTTTCACCTTTCTCTCTCTACCGGAAACAATGGAGGCGGGGAGATGAAAGATTCTAAGTTAGACTTTATTTATAAGAAGAGCTAATGAAGGAAGGACTCTTTCAAGTTGAAGGGAGAGATTATTTTATTTTATTTTATTTTTTTCTTGTTTTCTCTCTTTGTTTTGGTCAGGTTTGGAAAAAATTATTTTGTGGAGATGTTGAATGCTGTTCGGAGACCAACCAGAATGTGCTACGTCATTCATTTGCTCGGTGCCACATCTCGGTATTGCTCGGTACCGTGGCTCGATACCGATGATGTGGTTGAATCTGATTCGTCTCCGGACGTAGAGTTGTGTCTGACGTCCGCACAAGGAGGGCGCCCTATGGGCTAGCGATGTTGTTTTATTTGATGATAATTTGAAGAGAGGTGCCTAGTTTCTATGATGGTGATTAGTGATTCATGGGAGATTTGTTGGGCTTGATTAGGTTAAATTTGTTGGTATTAATTCCCTTTTGGCTATCATCTATGTTAATTGACAAGGAAAATCCCTCTTCGTGTATCTGAAGTGATTCTTTAAAGATAATCTCACACTTAAATTGAATTTTGAGTGCTCTTACATTCATGAAATCTTATAATATTCGTACCGTCGTTATTTTTGAAGCTGTGGAGTATCCTGAACATTGCTTGGAACATCTTAAAGCAATTGAAGCCTGGTGCAGATTTCAAGAAGTTTCTTTATTAAATCTAGAAAAATGTCTATCAACATTCAGTTTTTTCTATGAAGTTATAAGAGTTTACCCAAGCTTCAGCACGTCATCTTGCGTTCCACTTGTTTGCTGCTGTGGTGGGCTTAATTCAAGATCAGTTGATGTGGGACTAAGAGAACCGCAAGTGGTAAATCCTCCATTAAATCTTGCACTTGCATCAACCTAACAATAGATTGTCATCTTCAGGCAATATATAAAACTTTCTATCTTCACTATTATGGATATACTGGCCTTGCAGTTTTTTTGTTAATGATTTTTATTTCTTTGATGAACACTAAGGGGCATAAATGAGCTGAAGCTTGTGCAAGCTCAAGTGTCGTTCGGCTCAACTTGTTAAGCAATTAAGTAAAATTTTATTATTTGTGTTTGTGACTTATTATAGAGCTAAATATTGAACCAAATACAAACAACTAACTTCTCTAACATCCATAATGAATACCTTTCGGTGTAATTCCATATTTTCTTGAGCATAGGGGTTGATCTTTTTGTAGATATTCATATACTCTCTGTCCATAATCCTGACCTGTAATGAATATATTCAGTGGAGCAGTTGAGCGAATCTTGTATATCAGATTTACGATGAAAAAATACCTTCTGAATTAGCTCTTGACCTTCATCAATTAAAATTTGATCCTGCCAGAGATTAAGAGATGAGTAGAATCAATGAAAATGATGACTGTAACTAGACATGACTTAAAGTATCAGATCTAAAGACCTTCTTTTTGTGTATTGCTTGTAAACTTGCTTTTAGCTGATTCTCTAAGGTCTGTAGATCTTTGAGACCTAGCCCGTTAACATCACCCATCAGCTGCCTGTAATCATCATTAAGTTGTTCAGAGGGGGAAAAGATGTTTCAAGATCTCATGTTATATGAATAGATTCATTTGAGTAACATTCTCATTTGTTAAAATAATCTTCTTTTGATGTGATCATGTAGTTATCCATTGAGATTTGAGAATAGTTTCTTACTGTTCCATACATGCATTATATTCTTTCTATTAGGCATGATTTTTTCCATGTGATTCTGTCTCTTATGTTCCCAAACTCGGATAAAATGGTTATGAAACCTTCTGGTTTAAATTATTCTATGTGGAGACCAAACGCAGAACGCTTCCGGAGACCAACCAGCGCCACATCAGCGGCACCGAGACGCGGTACCGAACGAAGGAGTGATGTGGCGCATTTTGGTTGGTCTCTAGACGGCATCCGCACAAAATAATTTCTCAGTTTTGTGGCATCATCTTCATGAAATCAAATTCTCAAATAAACAGAATTCCAGTTTACGCTTGTGTTCTTAGTGCTTAAAGAAGATATTGATAAAAGTATAGCTAGACAAAGCCGAATGAATTTAACTATATTCTATCATTTTGCTTGTGTTTCAGTGTCCTTACATCTATACACCCACTTACCATGTTTGTTATGTGCGTAGATTTTCATGAGTATTTCATGACCTTAATATTGGTTTCTGACACTGTCAGAGGAAAGAGACTTCTGATATATTTTTTGACAGGGATAGTTGAATTTATCAGCTTTTGTGCGCCTACATCATTTTTTGCTGAGAGCGCACTACTAGGAGTGCTCTATGCAACATCTTTCATTTGCATTTGTGAATATTGAATAATCATACGTGAACCTGATGGCCTTAAAATTCAAGATCTTTTTAGAGAAACTGTTTGTCTTAGTGCTTTAAATATTTATTTGACATTATTGAAAGTATCTACCTTCTACTCTTCACAAATCTCTCTCCCTACTACAAAAGAAAATAAATTGAAGTGACAGAAGGAAAGGCATTTGTTTGATAGATCTTTCTACTTAATTTATTAGGGGATTTACATACATAACACAAAATTTGTTTGTGTTTATATATAACTCCTAAATTTTTATATTTACTTATTTTTCATTCAAATCTCTAAATCAGCTAAAAAAATATCATTAATATTAACTTATTTAAAGCAAAACCATCCTTTTTTATGCATTTGCTTTGATGTGATTTTGATGGGGACATCGGAGCTTGGAAAGTCTATCAGAGGCGCGGCCGCCGATCTACGGCCACGATCGCGCCAATATATTTTTAAGTCGTCATATGTATTTGTTTTTATTTATTTATGTTTGTATTTGCTTTTAGTTATTTTCCCTTTTACCCCTTACTTAAGGGTGGTCATGTGTAAGCCCAAAGGGCATTGTCGTCTTTTATTTTTGAGTCCATTGTATGAGGCTATATATAGCCCTTATGTTCTCTTTCCATGGTTAATGGATGAATGATAACATTTTCCCCGTGTTTGAGTTCTTGTGAGAGCTTGAGAGAGATTGGAGAGATATTCCCTTGAGAGGGAACCAGATTACCCACCAACCTTGGAAGAGTTCGGATTCATGGTTAGTTTATCATTTTGAGTTTCAATTTTTCTCTCCCTTGTTCTTCCCCTAATCCACAGTTCGCCAAGCCCCACCACCGAATTCCCAAGCCTTCCCCTCCCCCGCCTCCCCCCCCGGTCGGTCTCATCCCACACCACCACCAATCAATCCTTTTCTCCCCACCTAGCCGCCACCCCTCTCACCAAAACCCTAGCCCTAACTGCCGGCCCCCCTTGGGGATTTCCCCTCTTGGCTTGTGTTCAAACCTTTCCAATTTGGTCTTTCTAGAATAGAAAACTTATTTAATTCATATTCAAATTTAATTTGAATTTGAATTGTTTCCTAAATTACAAAACCTATTATTGGAAAGTTTTCTAATTTAAATATACCTTTCCAAATTCGATTTGAATTTAAAATTCAATTGGATTTAAATACACCTTTCCAAATATTTAAATCTAAATCAAGTAACTTTAAATGCTTTCCCTAAATCTCTCTCCCTCCTATGGAAGCCGCTAGCCCCACCCCCCCATTACCCCTTTGATTTCTTTCCTGATTGCTAGCACCTCCTTTGGGAAGATTTCAAATCCTCTTTCCCTCTCTTCTAGCCGCCCCCACCTTTCCCTAAATACACCCAAATCCTTTCCAAACAAAAGGGATTAATTAGAGAAACAATTGCTTGATTTCCCTACACCTCTTTTCTCCTAAAATCTGAACCTAGTTCACTCTCCCCATCCTCACCCTTGGCTGGTCACATCCCTCTCTCTTTCCCTCTTGAATTTCAAGATAAACTCCTCCCTCTCAATGGGAGTCTTCAAGGGAAGCAACGACGATCGTCTTCAAACATTACAACTCTTTGAAACCAATGAATGGCCGATCCCGATCTTGATTTCGGATTCATTTACAACGAGAAAGGAGACGTCGACATTCTCCGGTCAACCTTCTTCAACTTCAACCCGGAAACCGACAACTTCGTTGAAGAATACTTGAACCGCATCATCTTCACACTTTCCAAAGCCGTCGAAGAACAACTTGTCAACGTCCAGTGGCAAATTGTTTCGGGTCATCAACAAGGGTGAACTTCTTCACCTATTCATTTATCTTCTTATTCCGCTAACCTTGTAGGTGGTGATCCAATTGCAAGGAGTCGTGCCTCACCCTCTGCCTCCACTTAGTAATCATAGGAATTGAGTTTTACTTTCTATGTTTCTAATCTCATTGTTAACGTGAGGATTTTATTGGATGGCTACTTAATTTGTATTTTATTGAAATTCTAAAATGCTTTGATGATTCAAGTTCTTAGCATGTGATTTGGCCTAAGTGTAGCTACCCTTCTTACATTTTTCTGTTATTATTTAGTGTCTAACAGTCTAAATTGTTATTGGCTCTTATCTAAATCGTGCAAGTTCTTATCGTATACATCTAAATCATACTGAGTCCTGCATCAGATTTAGACAGTGGTATATGAGTAAATACAAAATTTTGGTGTTAGTCGTGCGAATACATAAGATTGCAAATACCCTTAATTTATTTTTGCTTTAATAATCGGACTTGATGTTTTTGGAAAATTGAGGCTTAATGCTTATTAGGTTAGAGACCGGGGAAGAGATTTCATTTTGAAGTCCTAATTCAATAAAACGGAAAGAATAGTTTGTTTATTATTTAACTGTTAAAACTATACTTTTGAAACTGGCTCATTTTGGTAGAATGTCATTCTTGTTTTTTTGAAGCTTTTCATAAAGTGGATTCACAAGCTATGGAAGAAGTTAATTTGGAGGATTAAAATTTGATTAGCATGTAATCTAAACAATCATATGAATGATTGAGCGCTTCATGCATTTTGGAAAGACTCAATCCTAACTATCTCAGGCATTACAATCTGTCAAATGCTTGTTTTGATAGAAACAGATTGGTAATCTTCTTAAATTGGATATATTTGTAAAAACTTACTGATTTTGATTTTGTTTTTTGTAAAAATTTATATTTTCTTCTGATGTTAAGAAGAAATTTGTAGTTAATCAGAAAAAAATTATGTAAAAATAGGATGTAATTCCATTTTTTAGTAGTCATTTTTAAGTTATATTGAGATTTCTCATTTTCTTTTCATTTGTCAAGCATCTATATCGACAATTAAACTCAGAACATTTTTACCCCCTTACCCTTTTGTCAATAGAAGTTGCTGTAAAGTAACAGCCACAATAACATGCTGAGTTTTTTTTAACCTTGATGATGAGAATAATATTGGTAACTATCTAGCACGTGGGTCCAATATGTATAGGACAATCGAAGTTCAGGAGTTTGACTGAGGCTTCGTTTGGGGCGGCTTTCTTACCGCTTCATAAAGAAGCTTTTAGTACAAAATTTTTAATTTTTTGTACTAAAAAGCTTCTTTATGAAGCTGTAAGAATGCCGTCCCAAACGAAGCATGAATTGCATTAATCCAGTAGTCTCAAAGCTGTTATAGTTGACTCTTTGTGAAAGGAATCTATTTTAGTTCTCCGGTAATGAAGTGATTAATGAGTACCTCATACAAAGGAGAAATTATTGTATGCGGAATCCGAACGTGTTCGGAGGTGAATCCGGGCATGCCACGTCACCGGGGTCCAGTGTATCCGGTGACATGGCGCATCCAGATTCGTCTCCGAATGCATTCGGATTCCGCACAATAATTTCTCCATACAAAGAGGATGGTTCTTTCATAATTTTCCCATTTCTATTTGATAATTTTTATTATTCATGCCATGAGGTACCTGATGACTATTAACCATGTGACATAAATATTTTTCAACTTTGATTCTATCAAAAGCTTAGTTTAAAGTATTTTCAGACGGTATAATTGTGACAACCTGCATTGTTGCATTTTTTAAAATCTTACAATTCTGCCGTGTGTCTTAACATTTTTTGGTACTCTAGGGATAAGAGAAGTTACCGATAATTTTCTTGCAAGTTATACAGTTGCTGCCTCAAGCATGTTGCTTCCCTCTGCCAGAACTAGTGGACAAAAAACAAAATCAGTTAGTACGTCTAATGCAGATACGGTGAGGCAATCAGATCAAAACAACATTGTTTGCAAATAATATCAACTGGGAATTTTTACAGTACTAGTGGATGACTTTATAAAACAAGATGCTGCTGTATCAGCTATTTGATCAAATTACATAACAGGTATTGTGTTGAACTTTGTAATATTCTGGCTATAATGTATATCTAAAGACTGTTTGCATCTTTTCGAACTTGCAAAAGGCTAATTCTGCCATAGAAGCTTTCTTGTTCTCGGTTAACTCATCATTCTTCTTTAATTAAGACTTGAGGCCCTGTATGCTAACATTCTTAATTGGAAATCGCAAATAATCTATACTATTTTGATTATTATGTAAATGATAATGTTTTTTGAATCATTAGATCTTTGTCTTGTTTGAATATGAATTTACGATGCAGAAGTTCAATATCATTTTATGGACGTTTACTTGTTAAAAACAAACTTTAACCTGCTACTAAAATTTTGAGAACATTCCATGTTATATTTCTCATGTATTCTTTATGTGTTATTTACTCATGCAAAACTAGAATCTAGTAGTGATTTATATGTGAGCACTAACCCTCAATGATGGCTGGCAACTTCATGTAGAAAATAAATCTACTTTTTAGGGACTATTCTTTTTATTTTTATTTTTTTTATCGAGTTAGGGTACATGTAATGTAGCTATGACTTAATTATTAGTTTTGATTTTCTTTAACTTCTATTTGTTTTTCTCTTATGTTGTAGGCTCAGCATTAAGATGTCATTGGTATAAATTTTTTAGATTTGGATCTTATTTTTTAAATGAGTGCTTTCGTTGCATTTTATATGATCAAAGTAATGATGGGTTCTTGAAGTTGAACTATCTTGTGCAAATCTTCAGAAAATGCGAGGCTTTCTTTTTTTCAGTAACAATTGCAAGAACTCTTGTAGCGTAGGGCTCTTATAGATCTTGTTAAATTGATTTTAGATTCAATATAAAAATTGATCTTTTTGAACCTTAAAGAAACCAAGGTGGCAATTCATGGGCCTTTACAAGGGAAAAAATCTCCAGTTTTTTCCAGGAAAATAAACGTGTCAAATTTGTTGAATATCTTCCTTTTTTTTTTTCATAGCCACAAATATAGAAAAATGATTAATCCTTGTATATTTAGGAAGTAAATATATGCAAGTTCTAGAATATATTTCTTATTTTCATAGCTACAAATATAGAAACATGGTCAATCTTTATATGTATTGTACTTTTTTGTTGTTGTCATGTAATTAATTGTTTTCACAGGTAGCTTAATAAAAAAAAAGGATATAGACGAAGTCAATTAGATCATACAGTCTTTATAAAACACTCTATTTAACAGAGAATGACAGTTCATATTGTACATGTTCATAAAATAATTATTATAGCAGATGATAATGAAGAGAAAAAATGCTAAAAATCCTCACTGACTATTTGAGATCATAAGTGGATAAATCAACTTCAGGATATTGCATTGTTTGAGAAATTTTGTAGCATGGAGAAGTAGGAAATAACATGTGATCTCAAGATAAAGTGCTGAATTAAATTTTAGAGTAATTGCCCATCGAATATGTAAACTATTATTGTTAAAAAAATTATACTTGAAGATCTAAAGATTAAATGGAAACGACTTTTATAGTGATAGCAATGTGTGCTATTAGCATTGTTCATAATCCGGTACAACATTTTCAAACTAAACTCATGGTGGTACATAGGCGCGTAAAAAAAGTGAAAAGTGAATTGATTTTCTCTTCTTATGCTTCAACAAATAGTCAACTGGAGAATATATTCATTAAAGGGCTTTGCAATCCTACATTAAAAAATATTTTGGTTTTATACATCCCTTTTGATAGCAATGGGTTGCTTCGCATAAGGGTACATTGTAGACTTGGGGTAAATGTTTGTCTAAGGGGACATATTTGAGTTCATCTTAGCTAATAAAAGACTTTGTGCCCTATCGATTATATTATGTTGATTCATTACTTAAGGATTTAGAATCATTGGCGAACATGTGGGCTCTAGTCGTGACCTTAATTTAATGGTACCATTTGACTATATAACCACCAGGTCAGAGAGCCCCGATCAAAACCTTTTATATATAGTGCTATTTGGTGGCAAAATCACCGGTTAGAGGACACATGTCAGATCCTTACTGATATGAGATAATTTGATAATGAACCCTAATAATATTCTCGACTAAACATTCGCACTTTATGATCTGAAGTGATTTTTAAATTTATTTATCTCGACAAACCGTTGCGAAATATGGATGGATTTTTTACTTTAAGTGTTTAGGTGATTTATTTTGATTATATATATTGAATTTTTGAAGAGCAATAGATTTAAATTTATTTACCTCGACAAATTGTTGTGAAAGGTGGATAAATTTTTTATTTAAGTGTTTAGGTGATTTATTTTGATTATATAGATTGAATTTTTTAAGAACGATAGATTTAAAATTCTTATTTAAATTTGAGCCCCAAATAATTAACTTTGAATTTTTGGGGCATTTCTTTGAAATTTACGTAGACCCCTCCGGGTTGAGATTTGCATTCAATACGGCTATCATCGAGGGTTTATGTGTATTATCATTTCGTTAGTCGAACATTGTCAACTATATTTGCTTGCAAATAGAGGATCGGGTTTAGCTCCTAATTATTGCAAATAGAGAATCCCGTTCCAACTTGCGGTCTTGGCCTACTTATGTGATCACCTACGTGAACAACACCCGAGATGATGCCTCCGCACACTCGGCCCAACTCCACTCATGCTTTCGCGCGAGCACAACGCCTGATCCAACCACGCACCCATGCAACACTTTCGCGCTCCCGCACCATGCATATGTCACCCGTCGCCGCTTGCGACATCCGCATGACCCGCACTCCACGCCTTCATGCGCGAACCTAGACATGCGAGCTCCCGTGCGAGTGTCTGCCTGTCGGTCTCGACTAGGCTATGCTCGCGCCAGGCGCAGTGCCTGCTTGTGCCACTTTTGCGTGCCCTGATCACCTCACCCACGAGAGTTAGGCGCTCATCTTTGATCCAAGCACAATAGGAATTTCCCTTCCCTCTCTTTTTCTTGATTACAAGTTCTCCTTCCCCTTGATCAACTCTAACTTGCTTTGATACCAGTTGTAGGATCTTGGTGAGGAAGGAAACTTTCTTGGATGAAAGAGAGAGAAAATGGAGGAGAGAGAGAGACAACACGGAATTAGAGAAATCTTTATTACTTGGATTGGATACCAAACTTATTACAATCATCTCTATTTATAGAACAATAGAACTAAAGAGATAAAATGTACCTAATGAACTACAAACCTAAACTTGGACCAATCACAACAATAATAAATAATTCTAACATCTTTTTGCAATTATATGAATTACAAAGATATCAAAATGGGGATTAAATGCAAATCTCAATAGGTTAATTTACCTGAATTTCTGAATTTGAATGCATCACTAGCTGACGATCCTCTTTTATCTTGCTGTATCGTTCAATCACCGATTTCATGCTGAAATAGACACGATAAGGATTTTAAGTTTTGTTAAATTTTCGTTTTTGCATTGTTTAGTTTATGGACGCTTTCTATCAGAAGCATGGTAAGATGAACTTGCATGTACACTACCTGAATATAATCAAATTAGAAGAGTTTATTTCTTTTCCTTTTAGACTTTACTCTGCTAGAAAACTTTGAGAACTTTTCTTTATTCATTTGTGCTAAGCATCCTTCATCTTCATCATCATTATTATCATTCGCCCCAAGGGCGGAACCCTATGCTTAGGGGGGGCAATTGCCCCCCCCCCCTCCCCTCAAAAAAAATTTTTTAACTTATAGGAGTGTAAAAAATCCATTTTGCCCCTCCTAAAAAATCAATTTTGCCCCCCTAAAAAGCTTTTTTTTGCCCCTACTTGTCATTGCTTGATTCATCTCAACCATACATTGCATTTTTTGCTTTATCTTCTCCCAATGTATCTATATTCTCTATTTTTTAATTGCTATGACAATAGGTAGTAATGAAGGCTCATATTTCTATGCAATAATTTTAGTTTTGAAATACCTTTTGAAAGTGAGTTAATTAGTGCACAAAAAAATCTCTAGGATTTGATTAAGAATATCAATTATGTATATTTGTTTCATGTTCTTGCAATATTTTTTTTTTTTTACTTTTTTTTGTGGCTGAAAATATGTTGATGATTTTGATTGACATTTAGTTTGAATTTGGAAGCTAAAATTTTTTTTTTAGATCAAATATAAAGCTAAAAAAAATTAAAACAACTTTTCATAATATTATATATAATATTTTTAATATTTAATTATTTAATTATTTAATTTTTTATTTAATTATTTTTATATTAAAATTGCCCCCTCAAAATTGGATAAAGGTCATTCCTAATATTTTCTAACCAAGTCTTTTTAGGTCTACCCCTACCTTTAAACTATATATATATATATATATATATATATATATATAATTTTAGTAGTTTGATTTTTTTTTCCTTAACAAAGTGAGCATCATCAATAAACTCAAAAGAACATTAAATTAAAAAAAGAAGAGCCTGTGCTCCTTAATTCTGATTTTCATCCTCCTTCAGATCTGGCCAAAGGTCCGGAAAATTATTAGGTCCGGTCACCGGACCTAAAAATGGGTCCGAACATTCAATTAAAACTTGTCACGTGGATTGCGCTTTGACTGCGCTTTGACTGTGCTTTTTGACTGCGCTTTACCAGTGCTTTTGACGCGCTTGACTTAAAATTCAGCAGACATGTGTACATTCCACATGCCAATATTTTATTGGTGTCTGGACCAATCTCTACGTCCGGTACCGGACCTAATAATTTTCCCAGAGGTCCAGACTTCTTTCTCCATACTAAGAAAAATTAATAAATTAAACCTAGATAAAAAATGAACATTCGTTCTCCTTCTAATACATTAATTTGAGGGCCTAATCAGGCAAGAAAATCATATTGTTTACTTAATCCCCTTTATATAGATTATGGATAGTCTACCTATGAAGAGATGACAGTAACATAAGCGAAGAAAAAAGAACCTGGTGCTGGCGAAATCATAGAGCCTATCTGTGTTGGAGAAGACGATAAGGCCGACCTCTGCATCACAGAGAATGGCAAGCTCTCTCGCCTTCTTCAGCAACCCATTCCTTCTCTTCGAAAAGGTCACCTGCCTCGTCGTCGTGTTATCGATCCTCCTTATCGCAATCTTCCCTCTTCCCATCTCCCCTCTCTCTTTCTCTCTGTCTTTCCTTTCACCTTTCTCTCTCTACTGGAAACAATGGAGGCGGGGAGATGAAAGATTCTAAGTTAGGCTTTATTTATAAGAAGAGGAGCTAATGAAGGAAGGACTCTTTCAAGTTGAAGGGAGAGATTATTTTATTTTATTTTATTTTTTTCTTGTTTTCTCTCTTTGTTTTGGTCAGGTTTGGAAAAAATTATTTTGTGGAGATGTTGAATGCTGTTCGGAGACCAGCCAGAATGTGCTACGTCATTCATTTGCTCGGTACCACATCTCGGTATTGCTTGGTACCGTGGCTCGATACCGATGATGTGGTTGAATCTGATTCGTCTCCGGACGTAGAGTTGTGTCTGACGTCCGCACAAGGAGGGCGCCCTATGGGCTAGCGATGTTGTTTTATTTGATGATAATTTGAAGAGAGGTGCCTAGTTTCTATGATGGTGATTAGTGATTCATGGGAGATTTGTTGGGCTTGATTAGGTTAAATTTGTTGGTATTAATTCTCTTTTGGCTATCATCTATGTAACTATTTTTAAAAAAAAAGTATGTAATCAACTTGAAATATAAATAATATGTATAAAACCCTACATATCAACTATGTTTCTAAGATTTCGTTTGGGGCGGCTTTCTAATTGCTTCTTAAAACAAAATTTTAATACAAAAATTAAAAATTTTGTATTAAAAAGTTGCTATTATTTAGTTTTTTTTATTAAAAAGTTACTTTAAAAAGTAATAAGAAAGCTGTCTCAAATGAAGCCTAAATCTATTAATTACTTCTGCAAATATATGAGCTTAAATTAACTATTTTATAATATAAATCCTATGAAGCATTAAATCTTCAAGTTATATTCATGGTTGAATGAAGCCAATATTTTAATAATTGGGGTAGTTTTCTTACTATTTTGTAAAACTGTTGTAGAGAGTACAATTTTAAAGTTGTTGTAGAAATCAATTTTTTATTACATATTTTAAAAAAATAATAATAAAAAAGTAGTTGTTAAATAGAAATTATGATTATGATCTAAAAAGCGAAGCAGAAAGTTGCCGATGCTTCATGTGAGATAGCTTTCTTACTGCTTTGTAAAACTGCATACTATTGAAAAAGTAACTTTTAAAGTTATTGTGGAAAGCAGTTTTCTAATACGAAAATTTTTTAAAGCAGTAAGAAAATAGTGGTCAAATAAAAAATATAATTGCGGCCTTAAAAGCAAATAAATGTAATTAAGCTTAACAATATTCAACTTGCTTTGCCCTAAACCCTATTAGGAACATTCTATGTGCAAAATACTTAGGGCATTTGTCATGCCCCTAATAATGTCAACATTTGCCTAAAAATTATAATTTTTTTTTTAATATAACAAAAACTTGAGAAGCTTGGAATGATCTTAATTGATTAAAAATAATAATAATAATGTAGCAATAATGCTGAAGCTAAAGATAAAAAATGCTAAATGTAATAGCATATAATGTGACAAATATGACTCAGTTTAACCAAATAAAAAACAAAGAATAATCAAAAGCAGAAACTTAATGACTAAGCACCTTATTCTCAAGAGAGAGACATCATTCTAGATCAGTAATATATGTTAAAGTTGATCTAAGAAAATAGAAATAAAATATTTCTTCTCATTTTCATGACAAAGACTCCACAAAATGATAAAACAAGCTCTACAAATAGATCTCAAACTTGCAATCTTTTATCTATGATAGAATCAAAATATAACAAAATGCTACTTTATGAGGACGCTAAGAAAATATAATGTTAAGACAAATAGATAAAGATTTAGGCTTCGTTTGGGACACTTTACTCCATGCTTCATAAAGCAGCTTTTTAGTACAAAAATTAAAAATTATACTAAAAAGCTGCTTTACGAAGCAAGAAGAAAGCCGTCCCAAACAAAACCTTAGAGCCGTTTAATTTTGTGGCATATTTCCATTCTAAGGTGAGCCAGAAAATATATACTCACTATTTCTGAAGAAGAAATTGCTAAGAATATATTTATCATATGTAGAATATGATCTAAGAGATGGATTTGTGGGACAATAAATTATATCAAGAATGTAATCTATGTACATTCATTAATTTATTGGTGCATAATATTTTCTTTTAATGAATTGGAACAACTTTGGGACTTAAATTCCATTAAAACTAATGTCTTGTAATGATAGACATTACATCATTTATCTGCAAAAAATTTCACCCTTCTTACCTCTGAGGTAAGATTTGATGATGATATAGTAAATATGGTAATGAAGGAGGTTATAATTAGAGTCGCAATGAAGATCACAATGAACACAATTGCAAAGAAAGTTACACATGCAACGAGGTTGAAGGGGAGAAGGATGAAGAAGAATAATAGTTTTCATAATAGAGACAATATCATGAAGGTATAAGATGTGTTCACTTGAAATTTAGCTTCAGCGATAACAATGAAAGAGGTAAAAATATTGATGACGAAATAATAGTTGAGACATTACTAGTTCTCGCAGCTCTTATATAAAGTTCTTGAAAAAGATCTCAAAAAGATCATCTGAGATATCCTAAAGATTATCAACAGCATGCGTTAGTAGATTCTATCGTGTAAGGGTTTAGGACTAATAAATACCAATCGGATTCATAGGAGTAAGAATTTTTGAAGGAAACCCCATGAAGCTTTGAATTGATAGCCTACACATGTAAAACACAAAGAATTATTAGTCATTATCAAACAAATACAAACTTGACCTATTCCAATACTAATTTGTTCACATACACACAAAAGATTTTAAAATTATCCATAGAAGACTTTGCCATTCAATCGAAAAGACAAATAAGAAAAAGCCTTGTATAGAAAAACTCTCAATTGGTTTTTCATTAAATTATAATTTTTCATTATTAGAATATGAAAATGAAGCTAGTTGTTCAAATAATTAAAAAAAATTACGGTATTATATATAATGAGGAGTTTACCCTTTCAAATTATTTTTCCTTTGTGCTTGTATTTTATTTTATTTTATTGATGAAAATTTAATTATAGAATAATTTTTTTGTCATTTATTTATTGTCCACAAGTTATTAGTAGAATAAGTTTACTCGCAACAAGGTGGGAGGACATTTCAATGCTCGAGCAAGCTCTTTAAAGTTTTTTTTTTTTTTTTTTATGTACTTACAAGTTTCAAAGATTCTATTTTTTTCTTATTGTTTTCTTTTGAAAAAAATGAAAAGTTGAAATTAAAAAAAAAAAGTCTAAGCCTGGATTTTCTTATGTTTTCTTCCGACTTTAGCGAATTTAATTGGAAATTCACACATATTGCATACGTAAGAACTTAAACTTAAGATCTATTAATCGGAAGCCTAACCTTCTAAATATTAGACTAAAGCTGCATCTTATTTTATTTTAGAGGCTTCGATTGGGATAGTTTTCTTAATACTTTCAAGAACAGATTTTTAGAACAAAAAATTTTAGTTTAAGAAAATTTTGTACTAAAAAATTATTTTAAAAAATAATAAGAAAATCATCTCAAATAAAGCCTTAATAGTTGTTGCGGGCTGAAAGATTCGTGGCGGTAGAGTGAGTAAACTTTTCGTCTTAGCAATGCACGGATACCCAACACGCAAACAGAAAGATAAGAGTAAAACACCATATATTTTTTTACGTGGAAAGCCCGAAGAGGGAAAA